CCTCAGCCTCCTGAAGTGCTGGGATTATAGGCGTGAACCAGCCCACCTGGCCTTTATCTTTGCATTTTTAAATATACTTATTCTATTAGGTTGGTGCAAAAGTAATTGCGGTTTTTGCCAAGTACTTGATTTATCATTTTTAGATTAATCCGTTTTCATCCCTGGCTATTACAATGATTAAATCAGCACACTTCTACCTCCCTCTCTTTGTCACCTTTTCTCTCCCTACTGTTGTTCATTTTATACTTTCTTTATAGTAGGTGAGAATTAGAAAGAATGTAGGTTCTTGGTACTTTACTGATGTATAAGGGAGATTTTCTTGCTTAGGAGGTTGAAAAGAAGATGGCTTTCACTTTGATAATGGAACCAAACATATGGCCTGGTCATGAAGGAAGGACAAGCTTCTAGCCCAAAGTCATTTTGATGAGACACAGAAGTCACACTATCAACCAGGTGTGTTGGTACAGAGTCCGAGCTACTCAGAAGGCTGAGGCAAAAACATCATTTGAGCCCAGGAGTTTGAGTCCAGCTTGGGCAACATAGCGAGACGGCTCTCTAAGTAAATCAATAAAGTAATCAATACTATGTGGAACTGGATTTTGAGAAAAGTCTAGTATGGGAGAGGTATGTAGTTTTTCTTCAGCATCCATCACAGGAGTTACATCTCTGGAGAATGTGGGGTTACCTCAGGTTTTTTATTTCCTTCTGAATGTCCTAAGTAGATTTGGACCTAAGGCTGTCCAATTCCAGAGAACAGTGTAAAATGGGGAAATCACTTTTGCCCTAAGATTAGACTGTGGCTTGGTTTCACCCTGCTTGTTAATGCAGTTCCTGCAAATGCTGACTTTCTGGACTGTGTGCCTAGACCACACAGGCCTTGTGTCTCCTATTCCTCAGCTCACTTCTTTTTTTTTTTGAGACGGAGTTTCGATCCTGTTACCCAGGCTGGAGTGCAATGGCGTGATGTCGGCTCACCGCAACCTCCGCCTCCTGGGTTCAGGCAATTCTTCTGCCTCAGCCTCCTGAGTAGCTGGGATTACAGGTACGCACCACCATGCCCAGCTAATTTTTTTGTATTTTTGGTAGAGACGGGGTTTCACCATGTTGACTAGGATGGTCTCGATCTCTTGACCTTGTGATCCACCTGCCTTGGCCTCCCAAAGTGCTGCTGGGATTACAGGCTTGAGCCTCCACGCCCGGCCCTCAGCTCACTTCTTAAAATGGAACTTCCTTTCTCTCACATCTTGTAGGGCCTGCCTAGCCTCCTCAGCTGCATACTAATTATTTCTTCATATCTTATCTTCCTGTTAGTGTCCACCAGCCTCCTGATTAGCCACACTCCTGCTCTGGTCCTCATCAGACCACCCTTGTCATATCACTGCTAAATCCCAGAGTGCCAGTTGAGAACATAGAAAGCCAGATGAGAATGCTGCTCTGAACGCCAAGAGGGAGATCTGTGTGTGTAGGAAGTTGTTTCTTACAGGACTGGCACATTTTTCAGTAAAGGGTTAGATCATGATTATACTAGTCTTTGCAGCCCTGTAGTCTCTGTCATTACTACTCAGTTCTGCTGTTGTGTCGGGAAAGCAGTCACAGACACTGAATGAACAAATGAGCTTGGCTGTATTCTAATAAAACTTTCTTTGTAGATGCTGAAATTTGAATTTCGTATCATGTGTCATTTTCCTTTTGGTCTTTTTTCTTTCAAGCATTTAAAAATATAAAAACCATCTTTTTTTTTTTTCTTTTTTGAAACAGTCTTGCTCTGTCGCCCAGGCTGGAGTGCAGTGGCATGATCTCAGCCCACTACAACCTCTGCCTCCCAGGTTCAAGTGATTCTCCTGCCTCAGCCTCCAAAGTAGCTAGGACTACAGGAGGGCATCATTATGCCCAGCTAATTTTTGTATTTTTAGTAGTACAGACGGGGTTTTCTCCTGTTAGTCAGGCTGGTCTTGAACTCCTGACCTCAAGTGATCCACCTGCCTCAGCCTCCCAAAGTGCTAGGACCACAGGCGTGAGCCACCGAGCCTGGCCCAAAAGCTATTCTTAACTCTCAGGCTGTAATGAGAAAGACGATGAGGCAGATTAGGCCTGTGGGTCATTGTTTGCCAATAACTGGTCTATAAAACTAAACGTTAAAAGCTGAGGAAAGATCAATGAGAATCATAATGGACAGAGATTCTTTAGTTGGTTAGTTTGTTTGTTTAAAGAGAAGATATAAGATCCTTAATGAGCTCTACAAAAAATTTGAGGTTTCTTTTTTTTTTTTTTTTTTTTTTTTTTTTGAGACAGGGCTCGTTCTGTTGCCCAGGCTGGAGTATGGTAGCACGATCCAAGCTCAATGCAGCCTCGACCTTCTGGGCTCAAGCAATCCTTTTGCAAGCCTAGCTACTCAGAGATTGCTCAAGTCCCGAGTAGCTAGGACTAAAAGCGTGGCATACACCGCTATGCCTGGCTAATGTTTTTCTTTTTCTCTTTTGTAAAGATGGGGGTCTCACTGTATTGGCCAGGCTGGTTTCCAACTCACTCCTGGCCTCAAGTGATCCACCTGCCTCAGCCTCCAAAAGTGTTGGGATTACAGGCATGAACCACCAAGCCTGGCCCAAAATTATTTGTTAAAGGGCCCTGTCTTATGGATTTGGGGATCTCAACATTTGCCACAACCCAGGCATATCCAAACAGCAGAATGAAAAAAGAAGAAACAGGTGAGCTCTGATCCACTCAGCTTCTTGGTCTTTCTTTCCAAATAAGCCAGAAACGCAGAAGAAACTGGCAGAAGATTGTTTTCTCTTAGTCAGCTGGTCTCATCCAATTTATTTTAGGCTCAAGAAAGACAGTACTTCCATATATTCTACAAAATACTAGAGAATTGTTCTGGTCTGATTGTGCTTTATCAGTCATTTGTGAGGTTAGAATGGATAACCTGAGCTGAGTTTTAAAACAGAGATTTTACTTGGAATGTGCCAAAATTGTCATTATGCTTTTTATTATATAGAACTTTTTTTTTTCTTTTTTTTTTTTTTTGAGATGGAGTCTCACTCTGTCACCCAGGCTGGTGTGCAATGGTGTGGTCTCAGCTCACTGCAGCCTCTGCCTCCCAGGTTCAAGTGATTCTCTTGCCTCAGCCTCCGGAGTAGCTGGGACTACAGACGTGTGCCACCATGCCTGGCTAATTTTTGTATTTTTAGTAGAGACGGGGTTTCACTATGTCAGGCTGGTCTTGAACTTCTGACTTCAGGTGATCCGCCCACCTCAGCCTCCCAAGGTGCTGGGATTACAGGCGTGAGCCACGGTGTCTGGTCTATTATACATAACTTTAATGACTATAGTATCCATCTGGAGAACACTAAACAGGTCATTATCCAAACATCCATTGTTATAATCATTGCCACATGCTAGGCTTGTTTTTTTAAAGTAAACTTTTTATTTTAGAACAATTTTACATTTATAAAAAAGTTGCAAAAATATTTCAGAGTTTCCATATCACTCTCACTCAGTTTCCCTCAATGTTAACATGTTTACATTCCTGTGGTACAGCTGCCAAAATAAGAAACTTAACATTGACACGTACTATTAACTAAACTTGAGACTTCATGTGTATCACCTGTACTAGACTTTTTATAATAAAATCAGCGTACTGGGCTGCCATTTTATAATAAAGCAGGCATACAAGATCAGTAATTAGTTTAGTCTCTAATTAGATTAAGAGTAGGTTATATGGGGCCGGGCACGGTGGCTTGCCTGTAATCCCAGCACTTTGAGAGGCTGAGGTGGGTGGATCACTAGGTCAGGAGTTCAGACCAGCCTGGCCAACAAGCTGAAACCCTGTCTCTAATAAAGATACAGAAAATTAGCCAGGCGTGGTGGTGGACACTTGTAATCCCAGCTACTTAGGAGGCTGAGGCAGGAGAATCGCTTGAACTCAGGAGGCAGAGGTTGCAATGAGCCAAGATTGCACCATTGCACTCCAGCCTGGGTGACAGAGTGAGACTCTATAAAAAAAAGAAGAAGAAAAGAAAAACAGCAACAATAAAAAACCCTACTAAAGGACTCTGCTGGCCTCCTTCTATGTTCCTTTTCTGATGCATCGGCATTGCCTACTGATTATTTTTTTCTCTTAGTCTCAAAGTCCACTGCTCCTCATCCCAGGCTTAATTCATAACATAGATGTTTTCTCAATAGCAACATGTTCCCTAAAGGGAACAGTACCTGTCATTCAGGTATTACAAGGAGTTGACTATGCTTTTTTCCTTTGATGCTTAAAAAATTAGGTACAGATCTCTCAAGCAAGCAAAACAGACTGATTAGCTCTGTGAAGCATTACGGCTAGAAATCAATGTGTGTTGTGTGTATTTGACCTGTGAATAGGGTCTGTAATAGTCAACTTTAAATTAGCAGTGGAGATGGGGGAAATAGGACTTTATCATGGATAAATAACATCCTACAACTTCGTAATAAAGACAACAGGCCGGGTGTGGTGGTTCAGCCTGTAATCCCAGCACTTTGGCAGGATGAGACGGGCAGATCATGAGGTCAAGAAATTGAGACCATCCTGGCCAACATGGTGAAACCCTGTCTTTACTAAAAATACAAAAATTAGCTGGGCGTGGTAGCGGGCTTCTGAAGTCCCAGCTACTTGGGAGGCTGAGGCAAGGCAATCACTTAAATGCAAGAGGCAGAGGTTGCAGTGAGCCAAGATCTCACCACTGTACTCCAGCCTGGCAACAGAGGGAGACTCCATCTCAAAAAAAGAAAAAAGAAAGACAACATTCTGTTTCTTTAGCCATCAATCCTTTCTCTAGGCCATAACAAGCAAGATCATTTTGCCTTTTACCTGCATTCCTTCCTCTGAATAGCCTCTGGGTATGATTTTATTAAACCTGCAAAGGCCAGAAGACCTATAACTGGAGGATCGAAAGAAACCAGTTGATGAAGCAGTCATGAAGCAGTCATCCTCATGGGTTCTCTCAAATAAAGAGTTTCTCTTCATCATCTTACAGATACCTGAAATTCCTGTAATAAGGGACAAAATGGTGAAGCTCTTGATTGGAGACTAAGGATGGAGTTGACGCCATTTAGAATGCTCAGATTCAAGAGGCAAGCACAAAGGAGAGTTGATGATGGGTCCTGAGCAGGGACAGCTGGAAAAGCAGGTGAGTCAGAAGTGAATGCTGCTCTGGCAGGAGGAACAGATTTCAAGATGGAGCTCAACAGCATGTAACGCCAAAAAGAGGAGCCTGGCTTCTGTTGAGTTTCCTAGTGATGAGGCCCCAGATGGTGCCGAGGTGAAGTTGTGTGGAGGGCACACTGCGGTCTATTGAGACCTACTGAGAGGTAGGAAGTGGAAACAGGAGTGTGGACTCTCCTTTGAGAAAGTGGGCTGTGAGAAAGAAAGAGACAGATGGTGGTGGCTGGGGTGAGCACAAAGTTAAGAGCACTTTTCCTCTTTTCTAAGAAGGCTTCTATGTAACAGCCTTCTATGTAAGGTTGTTAGAAAAAGGAACCTGCATACAGGAAGTCAGAAACAAGACTAAAAACTCAGGAGGAAGGAAAGGAACTAGAAGAAGCACAAGTGTCAAAGACTTTCAAACAGTTGTGTTTTTAAAAAAGCATTATACGGAGAGATGAATAAATGTGTCAACAAGATGACAGTTGTTGAATCTAGGCAGAGAGTACACAGGCCTTCATAATAATATTCTTTCCATTTTCATATGTATTTGGAAATTTTCAAAACAACAGGATGTGACAAATCTGTGGACCAGCCATATAAGTTTGAAAATTTTCTTTAAAAATATTGAGAGATACCCAAATGTAATGTGAACATAAAATTACAACTGAAAAGTTATGATTAAGTGTTTACAGCCATACCTAACCTAATGGACTGCAGATAATATTATAGACTTATAAAAAATTGTTTCACTTGAATTTTTTATTGGAGTTTATTTAAACTAAGAAGAAAGGTCATGGCCAGGTGTGTGGCTCATGACTGTAATCCCAGCACCTTAGGAGGCCCAGGTGGGCAGATCACTTGAAGTCAGGGGTTTTAAACCAGCCTGGCCAACATGGTAAAACCCAATCTCTACTAAAAACACAAAAATTAGCTGGGGATGATGGTGCACGCCTGTAATCCCAGCTATTTGGAAGGCTGAGACAGGAGAATCGCTTGAACCCAGGAGGTGGAGGTTGCAGTGAACTGAGATCGCACATGGCACTCCAGTCTGGGTGACTGAGCGAGACTCTGTCTCAAAAAGGAAAAAGAACAAAGTCATAATATTTTCACACAATCTACACTCGGCTTTTTAAGTGATAAATAGCAGAAAGAATTAAGGAATGCCACACTTGTAATTCACACAAAATATCAGTGTTTTGGGTGATACATAAAGAAATATCATAAATACTTTTCAAAATGTTATAATAGCCAATATACAGGGAATGCCTTTGGTGGGCATAGAAAGCCAGTTTAGAAAAGAAAATCATACTGCAACAATTTGATTTATTTAAAAATCACTAAACAAGAAAAGGTGAATTGAACTTCACATATGTACTGATCTTATGCAACTTCTGTACAATACCTTGACTTAAATCCAAGAGCAAAAGTTAAGATTCCCCTTTATTTTTGGTAAACAACTACAAGATGACCTTTTCTCCTTGATTTTACTGAAAATAGACTTTAAAATTTTTTATCTAGGCTGGGCGCGGTGGCTCATGCCTGTAATCCCAGCACTTTGGGAGGCCGAGGCAGGCGGATCATGAGGTCGGAAGTTCAAGACCAATCTGGCCAACATAGTGAAACCCCATCTCTACTAAAATACAAAAAATTAGCCAGGTGTGGTGGTATGTGCCTGTAATCCCAGCTACTCAGGAGGCTGAGGCAGGAGAATCGCAGGAGGTGGAGGTTGCAGTGAGCCAAGATCACACCATTGCACTCTAGCCCTGGCGACAGACTGAGACTCCACCTCAAAAAAAAAAAGAAAAGAAAAGAAAAATTACCTAAAAGAAGGCAGGTTTGGCATTTTTATACCCATGTCATCAGTGTTAATGTTTCTTGGAATCTTGGGAAGATTAGTATTCTATATAGCTGATACAGCCTGGGTTGCTAGGCTCCTACAAAGCCAACCTCTGGTTTCTTCAGCTAATTTTTTGCATTAATTTGTATAACAATCTTATTCTTGTTGGTCTCTGATGTGACTTCGTTCCGTGTTCCCACCCAAATCTCATCACAAATTGTAATCCCCACAGGTCAAGGCAGGGACCTGTAATCCCCACATGTCAAGGGAGGAAGGTGATTGGATAATGGCGGAGGTTTCCCCATGCTGTTTTTATGATAGTGAGTGAGTTCTCATGAGATCTGATGGTTTTACACAGGACTCTTCCCTCTTCCCTCTTCGCTCTCTCCTGCCACTATGTAAGACGTGGCTGTTTCCCCTTATATCGTGATAGTAAGTTTCCCAAGGCCTCCTCAGACATACAGAACTGTGAGTTAATTCAACCTCTTTCCTTTATGGATTACCCAGTCTTGGGTATATCTTCATTGCAATGTGAAAACAGACTAATACAGTCTCTAGTACCATTCCCCCAATACCATTTCTACAAGAATATTATGAGCCACATGGAAAATGAAATCCAGTTTACAGTTTACAGATGTTTTCAGAAACACTTGCCTAATGTTTCCACAAATACTCAAATTAGATCTAAAATACCAAGTTTATTTTCTGAAGAACCCACACAGAAGAAAAAATATGACATTTTGTGAGATCTAGAAATCAGTTTGTTGTCATATCCTCCAATTAATAATGCTCCTTCTAGAAACATACATTTTCATCTCTCTTAGATACCAAGTAAAAAGTCTCCCTGATGGTTTGCCATTGTGTGTCTTCACTGTAAAGCTGGTAGAACTTGGAGAGCTGTGGCTTCCTGTGGTTGTTGAAGGTGACAGTCACCTTGATTCTGGCTGGGCAGTGCTGCAGCAGCTGCCTTACCTGGGGATCTCAGTGGCTAGCCTTCTTCTCAACTTGGAATTTTAGTTGTTTTTATTTATTTGTTTATTGTTGCTATTGGTTTTTTTGTTGGTTTATTTCTTATTTTGGGACTTTTAGCGCATAGGGTGGAGCTAATGAATGGTTACAGAATAGGAAAGAGTGGGTATAATGACATGCTGCATACACATCACCTACTTTCAACAATTACCTCCATTTTCCCAGTCTTCTTCCATCTATTCCCCACTCTATTGTCTATTTTTCTGGAATATTTTGAAGTAAATCTAATATATCATACCATTTTGCTTGTAATTATTTTAGAGGATATCTCTAAAGATAAGGGATGTTCTTATTTAAAAAACACAGCCACAAGTTATCATCACACCTAAAAAATTTTATTGGGGTAAAGTTTTTAATATCTTCAGTAGTTTTTCCTATTATTTTGGTTGGATTTTCTGTTATTTTTAATTGAACGAATACAATATTGAAGAAATAAGTCTCTATACTGATGCAAAGGCCTTTAAGAAATGGAAATTTAGAAGGAAACACTACTTATGATAAAAAAAAATGGTGCTCATGCCAAGAAACAATAAAAAATTAAAGGAGTATTTTGTATAAAATCTTTAAAACATTTAACATGCCATTAACAGCAAGAGTATGGGAAAACAAATATTCCTATAGTGAATCAGTAGGAGTGTGAATTGGATAGTGTACCCGTCAGATGGCATCTTGAGAGGGTAACTGAAGGAAGTTTAACGAAAGGATTGTTTATAGAGATGTGCTCAGGGTTAGGGGAACCTGCAAGGGCTGGTGAAAGACCCAGGGACAAGCACCTGCAGGAAACAGTTCCTACCTGATCTGACTGACAGGGCAAGCGGAGAGAGCTTTTCTTGAAACACGGTGGGGACCAGGTTTGGTGGCTCATGCCTGTAATCCCAACACTTTGGCAGGCCAAGGAAGAGGATTGCTTGAGTCCAGGTGTTCGATACCAGCCTGGGAAACAGGGAGACTCTGTCTCTACAAATAATTTTTTTAACAATGGTTGCAGATGTCTGTGTGGTCCCAAATACTCTGGAGGCTGAGACAGGAGGATCACCTGAGCCCAGGTCAAGGATACAGTGAGCTGTGATCTCACCACTGCACTCTAGCCTGGGCAACTGAGAGAGACTCTGTCTTATTAAAAAATAAACATTTTTTAAAAAAAGAAACCTGGTGGACTTAGTAGCTACTGGGGAGGAGCTGCTTAATGGGAGCTGGCTTCTGGTAAGGGAACATAGCCAGTGCCAAACAGAGGCCTGGGGCTCCTTCCTTCTGCCTGCCCATCTCTCACAGAGGTCCTGAATAGACACTGGGTGCTGGAGATTTACAGCCTCCTGGGGTATAGAGCAGGATCAGGACAAGGTAGAGTTTGTATCTAGAGAGGCAACATGATCCAACACAGAGGACAATTTAATATTATCTGTGAGTTTCATTTATTTTTATTTTATTTTATTTTTTTGAGATGGAGTCTTGCTCTGTCACCAGACTGGAGTGCAGTGGTGCTATCTCAGCTCACTGCAACCACCACCTCCCAGGTTCATTCGATTCTCCTGCCTCATTCTCCCAAGTAGCTGGGACTGCCTGCATGCACCACCAAGCCCAGCTGATGATTATATTTTTAGTAGAGACAGGGTTTCACCATGTTGGCCAGGATGGTTTCAATCTCCTGACCTTGTGATCTGCCCACCTTGGCCTCCCAAAGTGTTGGGATTACAAGTGTGAGCCACCACACCTGGCCTATTTGCCATTTTTAAATGAACACCCTTGAATCTAGCAGTTCTACTTCTAAGAATTCACCTTACAAGCTGAAATGTATATAAAGTTGGAAAGTTAAAATGGGGAGTATTTTATATTTGTTAAGACCTTACTGTGTAGAAGCATCAAACAAGGCACTCTACATTTAATCCTCGCAAGAACCCTATGAGTTTGGCACGATCATCATCCCTATTTTACACTTAAGGAAGTCAAGGTTGGTAAAGCTCATTTACCCATGCTCACAGTTAATAAGTGACAGCACAGGTATTTCAATCCAGACAATCTGACTCCAGTATCTGAGCTACAAGGAAGTTCATAGCAGCATTGTGTGTGGAAAAAAAAAGACTGAATACAAACTTTAATAACTGTAGTTTGGGGACCTG